GAGGCAGGAGAATTGCTTGAACCCGGGAGGTGGAGGTTGCAGTGACCTGAGATTGGGCCATTGCACTCTAACCTGGGCAAAAGAGCAAGACTCTGTCTCAAAAAAAAAAAGAAAAGAAGAGAAAAAAGAAAAGTGACAGCTGGATGTGATGGCTCATGCCTGTAATCCCAGCACTTTGGGAGGAGTAGGGGGGGTGGTGGCGGAACATCTGAGGTAGGAGTTCGAGACCAGCCTGGTCAACATGGTGAAACCCCATCTCTATTAAAAACACAAAAAATTAGCCGGGGCGTGGTGGCAGGCACCTGTAATCCCAGCTACTCGGGAGGCTGAGGCAGAAGAATTGCTTGAACCCAGGAGGCAGAGGCTGCAGTGAGCCGAGATCGTGCCACTGCACTCCAGCCTGGGCAGCAGAGTGAAACACCATCTCAAAAAAAAAAAAAAAAAAAAAAAAAAGTGATGTTGCTATGGTAGATGCCATTCTTACAGCATAACTTTGTATCGCAAACCTTTTTTATTTTTTCATTGCAGTGCTCTAACTTCAAAGACAGATTGATTTGTTTTCGTTTTTGTTTTTTGAGACAGAGTCTTGCTCTGTCGCCCAGGCTGGAGTGCAGTGGTATGATCTCAGCTCACTGCAACCTCTGCTTCCCAGTTTGAAGCAATTCTCCTGCCTCTGCCTCCCCAGTAGCTGGGACTACAGGCATGAGACCCCATACCTGGCGAATTTCTGTATTTTTAGTAGAGATGGGGTTTCACCACATTGGCCAGGCTAGTCTCAGACTCCTGACCTCTCAAGTGATCTGCCCATCTCAGCCTCTCAAAGTGCTGGGATTACAGGCGTCAGCCACCAGACCCGCCATTGATTTGTTTTTTGTTTCTTCTTTTATTTTTCTCTGCCTCTTTGCATGCCTCAATCAGATGACTTTGTGTTTGTTTTAGAGATCTGTTAAAATTACATCAGGCTAACTTGACATCAATACAGCCTTACATTTTAGAAGACAAATTCTGAATTCTTGATGGATTTCATAACATTTATAAGTAGTGTGGTAATCACATGTTTGCTAAACTTTGGAAATCATGATGCAACCAACCCTCTGCCTTCACATAGTGAAGCCTTTTGGATTTTTCTTTAATGAAATATTAAATTGAATGTGGAACTTTGAGTAATTGGCCCAGATAAAAGAAATGACTCATCCAGGGATGACAAAAATTAATCCTGACCTTGAGGATTTCACTCTGCCAACTCAGAGAGTGAGATACACTGGCATTGATTGGTAAAGTCAGAGTTCCCCTAACTCCCTCAGTTGTTTTTGAGTCATTAAGAACTACTAATATTAGCCCTGTCAGAAGCCAGCCTAAGAAAAGAATATTTGCCAAATGCAATTCCAGAGCTGGGATGTTGAGGTAGACAGTGAATATAATAGTTAAGTTATTCCTGAAACTTTAGCTCAGTTCTCTTTACAAAATTAACATACTAATATATTAAAATTCACTCCTTTTCTCCTACTCCTACTTCCTACTGGCTCTCAAAAAATAGGACTCAGAAATGAAAGGATCAGGCATCTTCACAAAAATGAAGGAAGCCAAGCCTGAGCTGTCCATGGCTTCTCAAGTCTGCACCTGTAATCCTAACTATTTGGGAGGCTGAGGCAGGAGGACGGCTTGAGCCCAAGAGTTTGAGGCCAGCCTGGACAACACAGTGAAACTTTGCCTCTAAAAAATAAAAATAAAAAAAAAATACTAAGCCAAAAAAAAAAAATGGTTTCAGGGTTATTGTTTTTTGTTTTTTGTTTTTTTTCCCAAACGTGGCTAGCAACAGCACTTGCCTCCAACAAAACTGCAGAGGCAGCTATCCCAGAGTACAATGGTGTGATCTCGGCTCACTGCAACCTCCGCCTTCCAGGTCCAAGCAAACCTCCTGCCTCAGCCTCCTGAATAGCTGGGATTACAGGTATACGCCACCATGCCCAGCTAATTCTTGTATTTTTAGTAGAGACAGGGTTTCTCCATATTGGTCAGGCTGGTCTCGAACTCCCGACCTCAGGTGATCTGCCCGCCTCGGCCTCTCAAAGTGCTGGGATTACAGGCATGAGCCACCGTGCCTGGTCCCCCAGATATCAGGGTTTTTAAGGACAATTTGGTGGATAGGGGAAGCCAGTGATCTGGAAGTGCTGACTGGTCAGGTCAGAGATGAAATCATAGGGGTCGAAGCTATGTTCTTGCACTGAGTCAGTTCCGGGGTGGGAGGGCTATAAGATCAAATGAGCTAGTTTATCGATCTAGGTTGTGCCAGCTGATCCATCAAGTGCAGGATCTGCAAAATACCTTAAGCACTGGTTTTAGGTTTTACATTAAACCTAAAATTTAGATGATGTTATTCCCAGGAGCAATTTGAAGAGGGTCAGAGTCGTGTAGGCTCCAGTTTCATGACTCCTAAGCCATAATTTTTTTTTTTTTTTTTTTTTTTGAGACAGAGTCTTGCTCTGTTGCCCAGGATGGAGTTCAGTGGACTGCCACATTGTCCACTCCACTTTTCTTTTTTTTTTTTTTTTTTTTTTTTTTTTGAGACAGAGTCTTGCTCTGTTGCCCAGGATGGAGTTCAGTGGCACAACCTCGGCTCATTGCAACCTCCGCCTCCCGGGTTCAGCCGATTCTCTGCCTCAGCCTCCTGAGTACCTGGGATCACAGGCACCCGCCACCATGCCCGGCTGATTTTCGTATTTTTAGTACAGATGGGGTTTCACCGTTTTGGCCAGGCTGGTCTTGAACTCCTGACCTCATGATCCACCTGCCTCTGCCTCCCAAAGTGCTGGGATTACAGGCGTGAGCCACCGCACCTGGCCCTAAACCATAATTTCTAATCTTGCGGCTAATTTGAGAGTTCTATAAAGGCAGTCTAATCCCTAGGCAAGAAGGGGGTTTGTTTTGGAAAAGGGGTGTTATCATCTTTGCTTTAAACTCTAAACTGTAGCCGGGCATGGTGGCTCACGCCTGTAATCCCAGCGCTTTGGGATGCCAAGGCAGGTGGATGACCTGAGGTCGGGAGTTTGCCAACAGCCTGACCAACACGGAGAAACCCCATCTCTACTAAAAATACAAAATTAGCAGGACGTGGTGGTACATGTCTGTAATCCCAACTACTCCGGAGGTTGAGGCAGGAGAATCACTTGAACCGAGGAGGTGGAGGCTGCAGTGAGCCGAGATTGCACTACTGCACTCCAGCCTGGGCAACAGGAGCAAAACAACGTATCAAAAAAACAAAATAAAACAAAACAAAAAAACCTCTAAACTATAAACTAAGTTCCTCCCAAAGTTAGTTCAGCCTACACCCAGGAGTGAACAAGGACAGCTTGGAGGTGAGAAGCAAGATGGAGTTGGTTAGGTCAGATCTCTTTCACTGTCTCAGTTACAATTTTGTAATGGCCGCTTCAGTAGTGTGTGGGGGAAGTGTGTGTGTGTCTGTGAGTGTTGAGGGAGTTCTTTTTTTTTTTTTTTTTTTTTTTTTTGGTTTTTTTTTTTTTTTTTTTTTTTTTTTGAGAGAATATCTCATTCTATTGATCACGAGGTCAGGAGATCAAGACCATCCTGGCTAACACGGTGAAACCCTGTCTCTACTAAAAAATACAAAACAACAACAACAACAACAAAAAACTAGCCGGGCGAGGTGGCGGGCGCCTGTAATCCCAGCTACTCAGGAGGCTGAGGTAGGAGAATGGCGTGAACCCGGGAGGCGGAGCTTGCAGTGAGCCGAGATCGTGCCACTGCACTCCAGAGTGAAGACTCCGTCTCAAAAAAAAACCAAACAAACAAAAAACGACAAGCATAAATGTACAAAGTACAGAGGTGCAGAGGTGTCTGAGTGATGGATTCCATCTGTAGTCCAGAGGTCTTCCTGGGGGTGGTGGCATCTGTCCACCACCCCCAGGTGGGAATTTGAGGGATAAATTCCCAGTGAACAAGGTGGAGACAGTAGGAGCGATGACACACAGGAATCCTATACTAGGATGTGTTCAAAGGACTGTAAGTAAATCTGTGTGACTAGAGCTTAAAGTTTAAAGACAGGTGCAATGCAAAAGTATCTGAGACAGGACTCAATCAATTTAGAAGTTTATTTTGCCAAGGCTAAGGACACACACATGGGAGACAGGTCTGTGCCTTTCTCCAAAGATGATTTTGAGGGTTTCAATATCTAAAGGGTAAAGGAGTGGATATTGGGGAGAGGAGAAATTTTTAAGAGGTGTGGGCCGATAAGAGGCAAATGGTTGCATTCCTTTGAGTCTTTGGTTAGCCATTGACATGTGAGATGGGGGGTAGAGGAATAGTCACGCATTCATCTAGCTCAGTGAATCTGCATTTTTACATACGATAAAATAAACATAGGCCAGAGGAAGCAATTAGATATTAATTTGTCTCAGGTGAGCTGAGGGATGATGTTGAGTTCTGTCCTATGTCTCACCCCTGTGAATATAAGCTATCAATTTACAGTGTGAGGATGAAATTCAACATAAATGTTTTAGGGTAAAGATCTTAGGGCCCACAAGGAATTTCCTAGTGGGCAAATTATAAGGGCGGTATGTAGCTTTTTTGTTTTGTTTTCTTTTGAGACAGGGTCTCACTCTATTACCCAGGCTGGAGTGCAGTGTCTCCATTATAGCGGTCCCCAACTGCAGCCTTGACCACCCAGGCTCAAACGATCCTCCCACCTCAGCCCACCAAGTAGCTAGGACTACAGGCACATGCGACCACACCCGGCTAATTTTTGTATCTTTTGTAGAGACAGGATTTCACTATGTTGCCCAGGCTGGTCTCAAACTCCTGGGTTCAAGTGATCGCCTGCGTCAGCCTCCCAAAGGGCTGGGATTACAGGCATGAGCCACTGCTCCTGGCTTATGTAGCTTATCTTTGAATAGGAGGCAGGTTTGTGTGACACATCCCCAGCTTGACTTTTCCCTTTGGCTTAGTGATTTGGGGGTCCCAAGATTTATTTTTCTTTCACATAGGTAAAGTCCAGAGAAGAAGCTGGTGAGAAAGAGACAGGAGCCAGATCCTGAATGACGGTAAATTGAATCCTGGAGGGAACCAAACAAAGCCCTGAAAACCTCCAAGAATCTCAAGTTCGCCAAATCCATGGTAATGTCCTGCCACTCCCCAGGACTGCCACACTGCACACACCCTATCTAATGGCAACCTACTGCAGGGGCCAAGGAAAAACGTCCCCTTTGTCCTCTGGAGGTTCACTGAAAAATCAGCTGGCAAAAAGCACACTAACAGGAGAAAAGATGTATATGTATTATTATAAAAAGACGTAAATGTATTATTGGGCATGTGGGGGAACCACAGAGTAATTACTCCACCTCTCAGTGGGTTCAGAAGCTTATATACCACTCCTGAGGTTACACAAATTTTGGGGGCTCAGAGAATGCCCCAAAACAGGTAATGGTGGTAAATCAGGATTTAGTGGCAAGACAGAAATGGAAACTTGGCTAGCAAAAGTCATCTCATTATGTAGATTAGGGGTCCCCAAACTTTGGGCCATTTACATTGTGGCCATTTACATTCCTGTTAGGAATAGGGCCGCACAGCAAGAGGTGAGTGGCGAGTGAGTGAGCAATACCGCCTGAGCTCTGCCTCCTGTCAGGTCAGCAGCTGTTATTAGGTTCTCTTAGGAGCAAGAACCCCATTGTGAACTGCACATGCAAGGGATCTAGGTTGCGGCTCCTCATGAGAATCTAATGCCTGATGATTTAAGGTGGAACAGTTTCCTCCTGAAAACCATCCCCCTGCCCTGGTCCATGGAAAAATTGTCTTCCATGAAACCTATCCCTGGTGCCAAAAAGGTTGGGGACCACTGATGTAGATGAAACCTCACAGGTAGTAGCCATTGGAGAGAATAGATGGTTAATGTTTCTTTCAGACCTTTAAAGGTGTCAGACTCTCCACTAACCTTTCCTGTATCTGGACAAGGGAAAGCCTCAGAGAGCACCTGGCTGCATCAGTGCAGATTTTCTCTGTATATTGCAAGCCTCTCCCACAAAAAACAAAAAACAAACAAACAAACAAAAAAAACAAAAACAGCTTCATAGGACTACTTCCGCCTGCAGGTCCTCTGAACAGCCATCTCAAAATATGTGAAAGAAGTATAGTCTGGGGTAAAATTTTTTTGTTTGCTTCACTATGCATCTCACCTTGGGTGTTATTCTTGCCACTGGTTTCATGTTCTCAGACTCATGAAGCTGAAAAAGAGTTGGGGGTGCAGAATTTGGTGTGCTTCATCCTTTGTGGGCTTGAAGAGTCTCCTGTTCCCAAAATTAGTCCCTGGGGCGCTCTGCTTCACAGGCAAATAAAAGCAAAAAGAAGCTTGCTTAGCCTTAAGAGAGGAAATGACTCACAGGTTTAAAACAAAAAAGGAAAAGATGGAGGCATTTTGTAGGTGAAAGGGCGAGAGTCTTCTGATGCAAAATAAGAGGTCATTAGAGCAGGGATGGATTACCAATAAGCAGAGCAAACATTTGCTTAGGGAACAAACAGCCCCGGAACACGAAAAAGAAAAGAAAAATGTAAAAATTTGATTGCTTAAAACACTGAAGATGGCAACATGGGAAAAAACCCAAACGAGAACTTTTTTGGATTTCGTAACACTTATTTTATGGTTTAGTATTTATGGCTTAGTTTTATATTTTATTTTGAATTACATGTGCGGAGGTGGGGGAAAAATACTGTATTTTTTCTTGCCAAGTAAGGACCATTATATATTCAGGTATAATGGTATAAGGGATATCATTTTAATGGGTCTGTTTGGAGCTTTAGATATGATCAACAGTATCTGTGTGCATGCAAGATTGGTTAAGAAATTGGGGTAGACCGGGTGCAGTGGTTCACGCCTGTAATCCAGCACTTCCCAAGGCCGAGGCGGGCGGATTACGAGGTCAAGAGATCGAGACCATGCTGGTCAACATGGTGAAACCCCGTCTCTACTGAAAATACAAAAATCAGCTGGGCGTGGTGGCCCACGCTTGTAGTCCCAGCTACTCGGGAGGCTGAGGCACGAAAATCACTTGAACCCGGGAGGCTGGGGTTGCAGTGAGCCGAGACTGGGCCACTGCACTCCAGCCTGGTGACAGAGCGAGACTCCATCTCAAAAAGAAAAACAAACAAAAAAACAAAACAAAAGAAACAAACGGAAAACAAATTGGGGTAAAAGCCTCTGAGAGCTTCCTACAGTTGCAACTCCAAAGCTTCACAAAACCATTCCCTGGGACTCCAGCGCTGTGGGCTCCTCAGGGGGCGGACCCGCGGCGCCAGCGCCTGCTCCCCTCCCACCTCCCAACCCTCCCTTCTGCTGTACCCTCCCTGCGAGCCGCGTGCGGGGGATGGGGGGTGGGGCGAAGCCAGACAGCTTCATCTGGAGATCCCTGGTCACTCACGGGGGAGGAAGTCCCACGAGCCCTACCTGGCCTCAGGCGGTGGCACAACTTGTCTGCTCAAATAATCTGGTTCCAAATCCGTGCATTTTACACGAGAAAAAAACAAAACAAACAAACAAAAAGCACAACTGGGACTCAGATGACGATTTAAGTTGTGTTTGGAAAACAGTGCATAACCCTGCACATATAAAGTTGCCTATCTCACATAAGCCTACGCAGCTATCATTCTGGAGTGATCTGGAGTTAAGTCTTTTCTTTTTCTTTTCTTTTTTTTTTTAGACAGGGCCTCACTCTGTCACTCAGGCTGGAGTGCAGTGGCGCGATCTCGACTCATTGCAGCCTCGACCACCTGGGCTCAAACGATTCACCTCAGCCACCCATCCCCCGCCCCCAACCCCGCCAAACAGCCGGGACTAGCTGGGACTAGAGGCGCGCGCCACCACGCCGGGCTCCTTTCTTTGTATTTTGGGAGAGACGGGGTTTCGCCATATTGGCCAGGCTGGGCTCGAACTCCTGACCTCAGGTGATTCGCCCGCCTCGTCCTCCCAAAGTGCTAGGATTACAGGCGTGAGCCACCGTGCCCAGCCTCCACAAAACTTTTAAAGGTTATTAGTTTGCTAAAAATAACAGCGTAGAAACCATTGTGCAGTGCCACGCGATCTCGGCTCACTGCAGCCTGGACCTCCCAGGTTCAAGCGATCGTCCCATCTTAGCCTCGCAGGTAGCTGGGGGACACAGGCGCGCGACACCACGCTGGGCTATTTTTAAAAATTAAAAAAAAAAAAAAAAATCTTCGACATGCTGGTCTGGAACTCCTGGGCTCGACAGATCCTCTCGCCTCAGCCTCACAAAGTGTTGTGATTACAGGCGTGAGCTCCCGCTTCCATTTTTAAAGAGTTCTATTCTGAGGACTAACGCCATTCAACAAGTCGGTGTGAATTTGTTTGCGTTTTTCAAAACCCCAAAGCCAGCCTGGGTGCCATCCCCATTTGCCCCGGGCCTGTTAGTACCCCGACCACAGGCAGCGCCCCGACTCCAGACAGGGCTACCTCCAACTCCCAGCCTCCCCAGGCTGGGCCTCCCCCCGCCCCGCTCCTGACAGGCTCCTCTCCCCGGGGCGGGGCCCCTCACCCAGGCAACACACCCTCTCACCCCGACCGGGCCCCCACCCCTCTAGGAGGGCAGGCATTGGGGGAGGGCGCCAGGACGTGCCCTAGGGTGACACTCGGGGAGGACAGGGCGTGCTGCCGCGGGTCACGTGCTGCGGAGGCTCGGGGAGGGGAGGCGAGGCGGGGTTTATAGCCCGGGCGCCCGCGGGCCCCACGCTTTGACCGGGTGGTGGCAGCCGGAGTCGCCTTCGGGACCCTCCTGCTCTCCGCCTTTCGCTGCAGTCCGTCGGTGAGTGTGCGCCCACTCGGCGCCCCAGCGAGCCGGCCCGAGGTCCCCAGCGGCGCCCAGTTGGGGTGGGGGGCTCCCCGGGGCCTCGGGGCCGCTGCTTGCTCCCCACGGGGCTCTAAGGTGGACAGGACGCGGGAGTGGTGGTCCGAGACCCTCCGCTCCCCTCGCGGCTTCCAGATCCTGACCGGGTAGGGGCGGTCTCCTGAACCCGCGCTTTCGACCCTTGCCTTTGTGAGTTGAGGCTTCTTTCCTGCCAATAGATTTAGGGCGATTGCTATCAAATGTCCCTTGGCCTGCCTGGGTGGTTGTGGGGAAACAATTAATATTTGTCGAAGGGACATTATCGAAAGGGAAACGCGTTAGAAAACCGCTTTTTTTTTTTTTTTTTTTTTGACGGAGTCTCCCTCTGTCGCCCAGGCTGGAATGCAATGACTCCGCCTCCCGGGTTCAAGCGATTCTTCTGCCTCCGCCTCCAGAGCAGCTGGTATTACAGGCGCCCGCCACCACGCCTGGCTCATTTTTGTATTTTTAGTAGAGACGGGGTTTCACCATGTTGGTTAGCCTGGTCTTGAACTCCTGACCTCAAGCAATCCACCTGCCTTGGCCTCCCAAAGTGCTGGGATTACAGGCGTGAGCCACTGCTCCCAGCCAGAAAACCGCATTTTATGGGTACACATTTTATGAATACACAATGGGAGTGGGATACCGACACTGGCGCGTCTTCCGCCTTCAGAGTAGTGGCGGCTCCGTTCTTGGCGAGGGGAGGGTGAGCTGGCTGCTCAGGCACGGACGACAGCAAGCAAGTTCTTTCCCTCCCAGCTCGGGCTGCGGTCGGCTTTGCGTGGGGATGGGCTTTGGGGATGCTAAGATGACGTTTAAAGGCGTCGTGAAGTGCTTCTCTTTCTGCGTAGTCTCCCCTAAACTAGCTTCTGTCCTTTCACAAGGAAGTTTTATTACGTCCCTGCAAAGCGTTCCCACTTGATCCCCACAAGAATCCCGGCTGACCAAGATGCCTTCTGCTTGAAATCTCTCTTTAGTCTTAACCTGGGTTTTAACTTGGCTAGCATTTTTGTCAACAGATACTGCCCTTCAAAAGGCATCTCTCTATCTTGACGGAGAAATAAAACAAGTTTGTCAACAACTTTGCTTCTCCCTCCTGAGTATTGCAAGTTTACACATAAGCTCTGAAACCTTGCCTCAAAAGAGGGAGTGGGGTTGTGTGGGTGTGGGTCCTTCAGGAGGGGGACTCTGAGAGCTGGAGAGAGGAAAGAAGTACAGAAGTCTGCATGGAACTCACCCTGAATTTTTCTCTACTTGAAATCAGCATTTGCCTGGGTTGGGGAATGAATTTGGGAGAGTCATCCCAGTGTTCTGAAATAAGTCTCTTTTCTGCAGATTTCTTTCTCCAGGAAGAAAAATGGCATCCGTTGCAGTTGATCCACAACCGGTATGAATTTCTAGTAGCCTTTGCCTACTTTCTCTCCTCTTGTGTTTTGAGATATTAATAAGTACACCCTCCCTACTTTGATTGCAGAGTGTGGTGACTCGGGTGATCAACCTGCCCTTGGTGAGCTCCACGTATGACCTCATGTCCTCAGCCTATCTCAGTACAAAGGACCAATATCCCTACCTGAAGTCTGTGTGTGAGATGGCAGAGAAGGGCGTGAAGACCATCACCTCCGTGGCCATGACCAGTGCTCTGCCCATCATCCAGAAGCTATTCGTGGCAATCGACATGCTTGCCGCATGCATCACTGAAGCCATGGAAGGCTACAGAAACGCGACGCAAAGTGCAGTCTCCTGCGAGTTTTGTCAGATGCCAGTCAAGGACTGGTCAGGTGGTGAGCCCGCTGGAGCCTCACAACAGGTAACATCCCAGAACTCCTTAGCCCTTCCTGGGGTATACACTGCCTTTACCTAGAAACTTCAGGTGACCGTCATTACCATAAAAGGCCCGTTTCTTTTCCTTTTCTTTCTTTTTTTTTTTTGAGATGGAGTCTCGGTCTATTGCCCAGGCTGTAAGCGCAGTGGCCACGATCTCAGCTCACCCACAACCTCTGCTGCTAGGTTCAAGCGATTCTCCGCTGCCTCAGCCTCCTGAGCAGCCTGGGCTACAGCTCCCGCCACCATATCCAGCTAGTTTTTGTATTTTAGTAGAGACGTGGTTTCACAATATTGGCCAGGCTTAACTCCTGACTTTGTGATTCACCTACCTTGGCCTCCCAAAGTGCTGGGATTACAGGCATGAGCCACCGCGCCTTGTCCATAGAAGGCCTGTTTCATAGCATGGCAGATGTTTATGATCCTTTAATTAAAATCCCCCAGAGGACGGGTATGTGGCCTTACACCCTGAATCCTAGCACTTTGGGCGGGCCTAGATGGGAGATCGCTTGATGCCTGGAATTTGAGACTGCTCATTGCAGTTTCTGCCTCCAGGACCTCAGGGCGATTCTTCTGCCTCAGCTCCCCAAGTAGTTGGGATTACAGGCATACACCACCATGCGCCCAGTTAATTTGTTTTTTTAGTAAGGAGATAGAGTTTCGCCATGTTGGCCAGGCTGGTCTGGAACTCTTGACCTCAGGTGATCCGCCCGGCTCGGCCTCCCCAAAGTGCTGGGAACTACAGTGTGAGCCCACCATGCCCTGGCTGTGAATGAGTTTTAGAAATGGATAGTGGTGATGTTGTATAATGTTGTAATGGACTTAATGCACTGATGCGCGGTTAAAAATGGTGAAATGTGAAGTTTGTATGTATATTATTACCAAATAAAAAATAGAAATCTCATACTCCATGAGAAATCTCATACTGTCATACTTAAAGTCACTCCCCATTTCCTTCCAACCGCCCCTGAGGCAGCTACTATCTACTCTTGTCTTTATAGATCCCTATGCTGGATATTTCTTATAAATGAAATCATAAAATGTGTGGGCTTTTTTGTGGGGAAAAGAAAGAGAGATCAGACTGTTACTGTGTCTATATAGAAAGAAGTAGACATAAGAGAACTCCATTTTGTTCTATAACGAAGAAAAACTTCTTCCATCCTGGCTAACATGGTGAAACCCCGTCCCTCTACTAAAATACAAAAAAAAAATTAGCCGGTGCGTGGTGGCCAGGCCGCCTGTAAAGTCCCAGCCTCTCGAGGGGCTGAGGACAGGAAGATCAGCGGTAAAACCGGGAGGCGGAGCTTGCAGTGAGTAGGAGCGAATCGGCGCGGCCATCTGCAACTCCAGCGCTGGGGCGGACACGAGCTGAGACCTGACCGTCTCAAAAAAACA